ATCCCATTAATACCAAAACCTATAAGAATTATGAGTTCCTCTTAACAATGATTTTCTATTCTTCCCCTTGATTTCACCCATAACATCTCAATATTCAAACAGGATTTAGGAAGTTTTCTCCACTCCTTTCTCACACAACAATAAGTGTTTGCATAAAAAATAAGCATCAATAATGACAGAATTTAAATTTGTCGCCACAGTTTACAAATGAAAGTCTACCCATCAGTTCTAACAACATACTTTCAACTATATTTATTCTTAAACATATCTCAATCATAGTTATTTCAAACATGCTTTCTATTATTGTCCTCTTCTAGGATTCCAGATGTTAATTATGACTTCAAGAAGAACGAAGGATTGGCTTTTGATTACATGACTTATGGAGCTGCTGTGTCTGAAGTCGAGATAGATTGTTTGACTGGGGACCATATTGTAAGTTTGATGTTTATTTTATTTTTATTAATGGGTAACCATTACAAGTAGATTTGAAAGTATTTTATCCACCACATCATATAAAACTTGTGTGATATGTTCAAACAAACGGTAACATAGCATCCAAAATGACAGAGACAGGTGAATAGAATTTTTGTACCATATAGTACACCATAATGACTGTGGCGAAATCCTTGTTTTATTCAGAATCCATACAAATTCCTCAACTTTTTCTTTTAGAATTATTACTATCCGTCCTGTCAATTTCAACAATAAAAAGCACCAACACTAATACATATGACTGGATTGGTCTGTTTGCAGGTTTTACGCACAGACATAGTGATGGATATTGGAGAGAGTCTGAACCCAGCTATCGATGTCGGACAAGTGGAAGGCGGCTTTATGCAGGTGCGACAACTTATGTATACTAACAGTAGAGATAAGTGAATAAAGTTTTCCAAAGTACTGGTTATTTTATAGATATGTAGTTTTAGTTTACCATCTCCAGTGATGTTGTCTGAAGTTTGGTGATTTGTATGTTGTGTTTTTAATGGCTAGAAGTAGGGCTTTTAGTAAATTTTGTTATTTTGTACATTTTCTAAGAAAATAATAGTTCAAATGCAATTTTAATAAAATCTGCTTGAAAGAGCCTTTAATCCAGTATCATCAAAATTTAGTGCAGAACTAAATTGATACATTTAAAAAATACACGTGTTTTACAAGTTCAATATCTTAGTACGGTAAACTACTAGTAAACCAGACTAGTTAAACTACCAAACATTCATAGGAAACATCAATAACATACCGAGCAACGCTAGATAAACATGTGATTTGGTTGTTTAAAAAATACACGTGTTTTACAAGTTCAATATCTTAGTACGGTAAACTACTAGTAAACCAGACTAGTTAAACTACCAAACATTCATAGGAAACATCAATAACATACCGAGCAACGCTAGATAAACATGTGATTTGGTTGTTTAAGTGCCTGATTGACTCTGAGCTATCAACAGCGGTACAGAAGAGTGTGAGAGATACGCATTTGGCTGACCAAACCATCCATCTGAAGTCCAAATAGACCCAAATGCCCAAACATCAGGCAATTTACTTTTCTTGAGTACATTTGTTTGGATGCATATTTATAATGTTTGTCGTAGGGCTACGGACTGTTCACCATAGAGGAGACAGTTCACTCACCCCAAGGAGCTCTGTTGTCCCGAGGTCCTGGAGCCTACAAGATACCCGGCTTTGGTGATATTCCTGCAGAGTTCAACGTGGCACTGCTTAAAGGAGCTCCCAACCCACGCGCTGTGTATTCATCAAAGGTATGTTTTCAATAGAAATATTTTGAAACTATATAAGTACAAACATATTCAGCAGTACAACATTGTATAACTTGTTTCATGCGTAAGGCTAATTAACTATTCAACATTATAAAAACCAAGACTTATTTGGTGAAATACCACAAATCATTAATTAAAAAGCCTTATTGGAGTGGCTACACTCACTGAGTTTTCAATTTTTTACTTCATTTTGCAGTATGCAGCATAAGAAGGGAATTTTAATTTTCCCCATCTAAAGATAAACATATTTACTCGGTCCGGTGAAACACTATGCTTTTTTAAACTAAGTAATGTGTTATTATTTAATATTTAGTTTCTTTCATGATAAAATAAACCTAGATTGAGCTAGGCTCAGAATAACGTCAATAGTAAGAAAAAAAAACTCCTCAACTGCCAAATAAGCCTGATTTATAGTGGTCAAAACACGAAGGCTGAAATTTGTTTTGAACTTTTTTATGAATGCATCGTGACATTGTATGTTTGCAGGCAGTGGGAGAGCCCCCTCTGTTCCTGGCGTCATCTGTGTTCTTCGCTATCAGGGAGGCAGTGGCAGCAGCCAGGGCGGAGGTAGGTCTTCAAGGATACTTCCGTCTGGACTCTCCCGCAACTGCTGCCCGGATACGCATGGCCTGTGCTGACCATATAGCTCAGAAGGTACTGCCTTTTAGTCTTTGAGATATTTAAAATTAATTAAAAATGTATAATGGATATTGTTGTTGTGTTTAGCTGCACCAGGGAAACTCCAAGATATCTCTGTATTGCAAACTGGAAATAATGTAAACAATTTCATGGGATACTTTGGGAACATGATGGTTGTTCAATTTGGGACGGATGATTATGTTTGATATAAATACAATCCAATCTAAATGTCTTTGTCTCTCAATGATTGAAGAATTGAATACATGTTCAGCGCTAAAATAATAAAATTCAAAACTATCAAAATTCTGAAAAACGTGATTGTCTCTTTCATATTTATTGTTGTTTAGTTTTGGGTGTTGATTATGTGTAAGTTAAAGGACCCTTGATATCATAATATATATTTAAAATTTCATTTCAAACCACCTGGAATGCTTTGTTTGTTTTCAGTTCCCTGAACCTCCTGCAGGATCTTATAGTCCTTGGAATGTGACTTTGTGAACACCAAATGACAACTAGGCTGATATTTTACAATTTGTTCACCATAGAGACAACATAGAAGAGTTGTGTATTTATAACGTTATACATAGGTATTACACAAAGAGACACCTATGTCAAACTGTAGAGGTTGATCTGTTGAATCTACAAAGAGTCAAAATAAAATTCAAAGCATCATGATTTAAGACATTTAAACACAGCGCTAAAAGCAATATTAAATGCCAGACAATAATACTACTAGACTAGAAAATTGAAAGTTAAACCCAAGTGAATGATTTGAGTGTTTTAAACAAAATAGATTCACAGAAAGAATTGTAGAATATCAATAAGAATAAAAAAGAACCATTAAAAGAACAAGAAATTAAAGTTTATTCCACTTTTGCCAGTTTCATATATAACTAAATAATGCAAAATTCATAAGTTAAAAGAAACTGCCAATTTGCTATGGGTATTTAAGCCATGTTGTCTTGTGCTCCATTCCAAAGCAGAAATATAAGATGTTGAATTGGGTCGCTGATTTTAGATAATTTTAATTCGTAAAATCTACATTTATAATCCTTATCAACATTTCAATTGTTTTGTAAAAATTGTGTAAATAATCTTCATAGTGTTATATATTGTTGTATTAAATCTATATAAAATAGAAAATTTTCATTTAACCCTTCTTTTTAACTATAATCAACCATGGAAACCCTTTACGAACTACAAGATTGTTTCAGATTATATCAAATATTTCAAATCAGATAAATTTCCTTCAACAATATTTTTTTTAAGCTAATTAATTCCATCTTCAATGCTTTTTGCTGTGTCCTTTAATTAAACCTCATAATTTACAGAGATTCTCTTTGTGACTTTTAGACTAATCTTGGTTTGGTAGACTTGTTAAAATTAATCTTCATATTTTGTTTTTTCTACACCATGATATTGTTTAAAGACATCCCAAGAACAAAACAACCTGTGCAGAAACGAAAAGATCACATGGTTCGTGCCGGTGTGTGCGTACCCTTCAAACCTGGTATGTCTATAGCTTTTAACGGTCTAAACCCTAAGTCTTTATTGGTTTTTCATCAAAAAGAATGCTAACCCAATGAACCCAGGTAACCCAATGTAAAACAGCATCTTGGCCCAGAATCGATCCTTCCTTCTCCATAACAAACAAGCAAACTTTTGGTTTGATATACAAAATTATAACCTACTTTAAATAAGGAACATAAATATGAAATTTTTATTAAATTTGATAAAAATATTATTTTCCTGTTTAAGAATATTATTCTGAGGTTGTTCACACATAAATTTGAGGGTGTACACAGATATTTGACTATTTGTGAAAGAATTTTGAAACAAATACCCCTGCAGCATCAAACATGCAGACTAATACTAATAGAATAGAATATTGTCAGAGGGCTTAAATTTTTAGTTCTTCCAGGGTTTCTGTGAAAGAAATAACTAATTTCTATAGTATAATTGATACATATACAACGGCAATGAAGAATAATAGAAGATTTCTTAGTAAAAAATATTTTATTTTTATTCAAAACAAATAAATAACATCACTCGATTAATTTGCACATAGTATTAAAATATTTGGAATAGCAAATAAGTTATGACTATTGAACAAACTTGATGAGATCAAAATGTATTAAAATGTTATTGATGTTACAAATTAGTTACAATATAAAATCTGATAATTTTGTCTTACAAAAAAATGTTTACAGTGTAAAAACGCTATATACGGTTATGAATTTGAAAACGTTAAATATATATATATGCAAAAATTAGTTCATCAATATCAATATTAATGTCTTTTAGTTTTAGGCCTGATACAAGCACTTTAGGATTAACACATTGAGCCTAGATACATCTAAATATTAACAATTAATAGACAATCAATACCTACACAACCTACACAACTCAATACTATTAAAAATTGGTCCTCTTAAAACATAACTATAATTGGTTAAACAATGAAAATCTAAGATAAAACTTGAACTAACCACCTTTTACATGAACATTCATGTATGTTAATAAAACATTACAAAAGAAAAGCTAAATTTTAAAAGATTTTCAAACCAATAACCCTTAAAAAATTTGTTTTTACTTTGAGAACTGAATAATATTGAAGAATATAATATGCCTATCAAAATTTGTTAATACTCAGACTTGTGATCAAATTTTATGATTTTTAAAATATAAAATGGTAGGTACACTTAGTCTTGTCAGCATTTTTTATTTTATTTTTTGTTTGGTTTCTAAATCTAAGCACCATTCCCACCATTTTACTGTGTCCTACAACCAGCATCTTCTCTGGACTATCAATACCGTAAGCAATTGAAATGTACATTGACCAATAATGTTTTTAATTCATTGTTTAACCCAACTTATAGTCTAGTGTTATTATCTTAATCTAATGGTCATAAAAGATTGTCACATAATCTATATGCTCTTTTTCATAAAAAAAAAAGCATAGGAGGTTTTCCAAAGCATTCATCTTATTAATTTGTCAGAAAGTAAATCATATTTAATCATACTCACAACATAATCTCTTAACAAAACGTCTAGATCTTAAGTAAAGATAAGTATTACACCTTATACTTGTTACGTTTAACGAATTTTGAAAGAAAAAAACAAATAGAATAAAATATTTTCTATGCAAAATTTTTGGCTCTTTCATTAGTATTCGATATTTGTAAGTTTAGTGATCAAAACTACATTTTAGCGATCACTCTTTTACGGTAGAACAGTCTAAACATTTTCTGACAAAAATTTGAATGGGCTGAGAACATTTTTTTAGAGGGGACACCTGGGACTCCTCTTGACAGTGTCAATCAGAGTTAGAGGTCTATTATTATTTTGAAGTGACAATCTTTCGTTGAGTTTAGCTTAAATAACAAATGACAGGATGAGAGTTTAGTGTTTGCCAAAGTTTCTGTTGTTCAAGAAACACAGGGTGTTCTGATAGTCTGGCTCGTAGACATCGGGAATGTGAGTTCTGGCGGCGGAGTTGAAAACCATATCTACCTGTTGATGCAAAGATAATCACATTTAGGATCATTAATACTCATTGTAAAGGTTTTTTAGATTGTTCAACTATTACTAGGAACAGGAACACAGTTTAATTCCTTGATGTGATAAAAAAAACATGTACACGCATAGTTAATTTTCAGTAATATTGTATTTTCAAAATTATATGTACCTACACGTTCTATGCTGATTAAGAAGTTATCAGGTTTCTTGACCTTGAACTATATCCTGTGTATCAACCCAAATTATTGGCTTGATGTAGATGATAAAAGATGTAGAGTGCACAAAAATTGACTATTGGCCCTAACACGGTTAAGTCTCTCAAATCTACGCAAGAATCCACACAAAAAAAACATATTTTTGTTGAGTTCAAGGTTGGATTATGTTGACAAACTGTATTAAATTGGACATTTCAGAGACATTTAAATACAGCTTGACAACACAGTCAACCCAGAAGACAACGAATATACCTCTTGTGAGAACAATTGTAAAAAGTCTTAATTTTTATTTAATTCACTTATCGTTGTTGTCAAAAAAAATACAAACAAAATACTAACCGATGTTGTTCCCATCGTTTGCTGTTCAAACTCGATGAGTTGGCGGAAGAACCCTGTGTTTGGCCGCACGGCTGGCCTGCACGCGCGAAGGTGGGTGAATGCGTCATGCAGAGGCAGGCGTTGATGTTTCACTAGGTAGGCGAGCACTATAGCAGCTGATCTACTGACACCGGCTACACAATGTACTAGCACTCTACCTCCGCCTTCGATCACCTGAACAGAGAGAAATATGAAGTATTTATAAGGTTATGGCTATAATTTGATTTGAACAGGAACACAAGGCTGCATGTTTCAATCAAGAATGTGAATGAAATCTGTTACCTAGTAAAATGGAGTGAAATTTCTTTTGTAGCTTTTAATACTGAAAAAACCAGACGATTCTTAAGTTAAGGACATTATTAAAGGTCAATGACCAAGGAGATAAGGGCAGGGGTTTAGTTTTGAACCATCAAAAGGCTTCTGACGTTGTAGGAGTGGCTTTATCCTTTGTTTAGGTGAGGTGAGTTACTAGGGATGATGTGTTGTAACTGAATTTCCAAGATCTCCTTACAAGTGTAAAGCCTTAAAATGTATTTTTTTTAAGCCGTGAATTTAGTAATGTTTTAGGCTATAATGTTGTTAGTTAAAATAAAATAAGTGTAGTTTAATTTGCACCAAAATTCAAAAAATTAAACTGGAAATTAATGCTATCTATACTATTTTAAGATTTTGTAATAAGGAGAATGGTGTAATTTTGTGAGTTTTTAAAACATTCAAGACCATCTTAATATTAGATTTTTAGAGCCAAACTAAAAACTCAAAGGAAAAAGGTGACCTAAGTTTAATTGTTCAAATATAATACATATAAGTTCACATATTACAGGAAGTACTTATTTTACAATTAATGTTTCTGTATTTACAGTACTGTACTTTCTTAAACACAATATTTTCTTGTTTTAACAGAATAACGACAATGACGTACATAAACAATACAAAGCAAGAGGTTTAGAAGTAAAAATGAAACCAGAAATCAAGGTAATCTGATAACAAATACTCCAAATGTCTCAGCAGCCATTAACATACATTACGAAGAAAAGTGTGTGGCCAAAGAGACAAATGAGATGTTAGTCTTGATAACAGAATGAATGAATGATAAGAGTAGTAGAGGCGGGTGTGACCATTGACAATCGTTGGTGGGCCGCCAGCCAACATTCCTTACGCATTCCGTGCCAAGAATAGCTCCAGGCAAAACACCTGCGGACGACCAAGCGATGCTGGACGATAAATAATCACCAACAGAGGAAAGATTTGGAATGTTACCTGTACACCAAATGGTGTAACACCTTCAAACAAATTAAGTTGATGAAGAGGAAAAATGGGATCGGAAATGAACACCAAAGAAAAAAAAGGTAGAATATGCTTGAGTAAAGAAATTCCTTAATAATTGTAGTCTAAATAAAATATGTTAATAGAATAGCTTCCTACAGTTTCATACTGCAAATTTGTAGTCTTTGGGGATGGCTACGTCATAAACGCTTCCATTTCCGCTAAGGATTAGATTAGATTTAGATTTCTATATGAAAACATGAGTTTATCAGTGTATATTAAGGATGAAATGATTGAAAGAAGAGTTTTGAATGATTGAAATGCCAGCTTTGTTACTAGATGGATGACAACAATTAATTACTAGATATATCTTGAAAACCCAGAGGTAGTATAGAGGTAGGGGTAGTATAGTGTACTACAGCCATTTTGGAGACTACCCCCATGGGGTGTGTAATTGAAGTGATAAACTAAATGATTGTTTTTACATATAAGGTGTATGGCAGTCGGTTGCCAGTTTTTAAGATTTGTGTTGTGTCGTGAATATGTAATATTTATTTTACCATTGATGCAATGTATTGTAAGTGATCACGTTTTGCTCGCACCTGACTTCTTTACCTAGAACCGTTATTTATTAAAAGCCCAATGATCAAGGATAACTGAGTCCATATGTAATAATATACCAAACCATTTATGTCAAAATTATACCAGTTTGTGAACTACACAAGAGTATATATTCTTAGCAGGTAATGTTTACCTGTTGTATTGTGTCAGTTGTGGTATGGAGCCTGGAGAGAAGGTCTTCAGAGGGAAGATCCTTCAAGGGCACCCGCAACACCAGGGCAACCTGCGGAGGTAGAGGTGGAGGCGGCAGCTCAGGGGCGACACTGACGACGTAACTCACCCCCAGACTGACCAACACATCCTCTCTGACGGCGGGGGCACCACTCAGGAACAGGGAGGGTGTGATGCGCGAAACGCAGAATCTAAAACAGTACATATGGTGCGATAATATGGGGAGCTTTGCTGCAGCAAAACTGTCACATCTTCTGAAGCAAGAACATTGGACTGCGGAGTGTTACAATTGATTGACATTAGTATTTTTAACATAAGGATTTTTAATTAAGCTAGGGTGTTTACTGAGTGAATTGTCTGTTTACTGTGGTAAAAGATTTAATTATTGTAATTTGGTTAATCTACGTTTATTTTTTCTTATACTGTGCTTATATGACGCAACCTTGTTACTGACTATATGACCAGCTGGTTCTACAGCCGGGCCTGTTTCATAATAAACTACAAACTAATATTATTAGTAAATCAGCTGATCGCCCAATGCAAATCTAATGGAAATTACAAGTTTCAAGCTATAACTTGTAACTTGTATTTTATTATGAAACAGGCTTTTATGGATTATGTTGGCTCCACAGTGGATGACTAAGACGCTGACCCTGACTACCCTGATGAATCAAAGTGAGGAAGAGGATTTTTGTTATAAATAATATATTATAGTATAATTATATAAATAGTATAGTTAATAGTAAATTTTAGAAAATGTAAATAGTATTTAATAGGTAATTGTTAATTAACTGTATTTGTTCATGTGTATGTTTGTTTCTTAATACAAAATTAAATCTTCAGTATAAATAGTCTCAATAGTAGCAGTGTTGCCCCAAGTAGTGAAAGAAGTATTTTTCATGGTTAAATTTTTCAAACATGCAATAAATATTTCTTAAGTAATTTTAAATAAACTGTATTCATTCTTAAATGTTTGTTTTACTTTAAACCCATTGAAAAAGATGAAAACGCACAAAACGGTCAAAATGACCGGATGTGTGCTTTCACATTATAACAAACATGTGTTCTTATAGGTGTTAAATCATGTGTTGAGGTTATTGTCACACATGTCTAGTGCTAGTCTAATGACAGTGTTTACCACTGGCTCCGGTGACGTCATGAGGAAGGAGTTTTAGCGGTCAGGTGCCAACGAGTACGCACTGTTCTCAGAACATAACAAGCGAGGTCCACTTGGCATACGCACCCGACAGTACATACCGTTTCTTTTTTAAAGTACACACTACGATAACGAAACTAGACCTGTTATAAATCTGTCTCATTGTCTTTTCAAACGCCTCTTAAAATAGTCACCACACGCGACCAGGAAAAGACGCACAAATAATACCCTGATCAAAGACATTCACGCTAGTCTGGTTGTGAAAAGTAAACAAGGAAAGTGTTGTGAATAACTCAGATCTTTGAACCAGGTTAGGGTTTATTTGATTTAGATGGGCCATATTAGCCTAGCCTAGCACTTTTGCTAATAGACTTATAGTGTAGAGTTTGGAGCATAGGCTAACACAAGATAGTATGTTTCATCTATGGTCTGAAGCGTATTTGATGTGTTTTGTGGCCAGTTCCAGTTCCGTTTGAGTGCCCAGATGTCAAATCATGGATATATCGTGTATTTTATTAAAATAGGTGAAAACACAATAAATAAATATTAACATTACAACGTAGATAAAATACCAGACAGTCACATTTTGTTATTATATCCGGATCCCGGACGGTTGAAAGAAAAGTAAGACAAATCTTTAAGGGAGCACACTAGCTCTGTGTTTAGTCCAGGATTGAGATTGAATTTAAAATTGAAAATATGTAATCGTAAGAACTTTACTAGGTACTTTATGTTATTTTGTTGTAGAAGAGATTTAGCGCCGACCTATGTAAAACAAAATTAAAAAATAGCAGAGAAGTCACTGTGTATTACTTATTTTTTAAGTACTAACTTTAGCAGTGGATTACGAGCGTGATAGGATTTCTAATAACTGAAACATCTACCTACAGTACATAATCAAACAATCATTGCCCATTGGTTTGAAGTAGTCAGAACTGCCGAATTCTCCACTTTGGATTACCAGATATCAATTAGGCCCCAAGTTACTGTTTTACGATATAAAGTCAACTAGAACATATTCACAACAAAAATATACCGCAGTGGAAAGAGCAACTAGTCAAACGAAAATAGTAAAAAATCTAGATTTGCCTGTTTTTTGCGTTTTTTCTGTGTTGTTTTTACCATAACTTATGGTCGGAACATATTTAATCGACATTCTAAGGGAATGCCATCAGTATTTTTGCAACAAAATTGTATGATGAAAACCATCATCAAGTCTAATAATTAAAGTTCACACTGTTGGGTCGTCACTTCTATATTATATAGAAATGTTTTGTTCATTATGTAGATTCAATTTAATATTATAGTTTTGTTTGGGAATATATCCGTCTCATTAGTACTAATTAATATAGGCAATCTAATACGATATGTGGTTTTTAGTAAGAGTTTTTATTAGAGTTCATCTGTGTCACATTGTTTCGTTTGGTTGACGTGTGATTTTATTAAAACTTTAATCAAGGTATTATTCCCAGACGTAAATGTATAATTTAATTTTCGATCTAGCATAAAATGTCCCAATAGGTGAATTTTACATTTTGATGCAGTTTCGACTTGCCCGCCGTCTCTAAAAATAAAAAAATGTATGTAAAGGATTCTGAAACTATATAATTTTTATTTTACTTTATGATACAATAATAAAGCTCTAACTATAAACTAGATTTCAACAACACAATGACTACCTGCAAAGTAAATAATATTTAGCAGAATTCATTTCTTTGGAAAATAGTTTCTAATAAAGTTATTGTTTTGCAAATGCTGAATTATCATGCTACTTCAATACAATCAATCTAATAAAAAGCTTATTATCCTAAGTTTATACACCACAGTTTTTTCATGGTGTATTATTTTTAATCATAGGTTGAATAACAAAATATATTTATTTTTTTCATTATTATTTTGCATTAACAGTGAATCATTTAAAGTACCCAATACTTGTTTACACACAAGTTAACACAATTTGATTATACCAAAAAGTTCACCAAGTTTGTTTACTCGTTTGGAATTAAAAACCACTGTTATAAAGTCACACTAAAATTGTTTACCGTATATAATTTTCATTAGGACATTTTGGAAAGTTATTGTATTAACTTTTCATCGTGTATCGGTAAAACACAACATCCGGATATACAGACAGCCAATAAAACCTTTGAATCCGTGCTAAGATTTTCTTAAGAAACTTTTAACTCTCATTGCATGAAATTTCAAAACGAAAGACCCGTCCCAAAACTGATGGTCTTGGCAACAACTTGAATGACTTTAATACTTTTTTTACTGCAAGGGCTCTAATCAACTACACTTTTATTGACAGCTTATTGTATAAACGCATTATTTAATCTTAAAGATTGCAGAGTGCTCTTGCTCTTGTATTCTTGTATCAGCCAAATAGTGAATTGAATTTATGTTAAAACACAAAAGCAACTGTTCTAACATTTACACATTTTCGTTACGTAACCAAAATATCCTAATGTACTAAACTTTTGTGTGAATTCCACTTACAGTTTGGATGTAGGAGAATCTCCAACACAGTTATCATTGTTGTTGTTGTTGTTGTTGTCCTCTTTGGACGCGAAGTTTGAGAGGATCTTCATTGCACTAGACGTTGACGGTGCGACGAACTAGAGTGTACTGAAGGCGAGCGCCGAGACGCTCCGAGACGCCAACAATACCGTAAACAACGCCACGTCACGGCGTCGGAACGCTACCTGCCGCCCCCTCCACACACACACACACACACACACGACGGTATTTCGGGCTTGAATCATTTTGCGCATTCGCCACGCTCCCTTTCTTTTGAAACGCACTTTGTGAAATGTGGTTATAATTTTCCTTGTTTACATAATCCTCTTTGTTGAGAATGTCAGCTAACCACATGTCATGTTATTTCAAATTGTCCAAATTAATGTTTAGCATTTTACTGTACTTGATACGTGCTCTGGATATTTTAATACTTTAATGTGAAATGGTGATAGGATACATGCTCATAGGCCATACCAATGAAAAAAGAAAACCCAAAAAAGAACCTCATGGCATTATTAGTGTTTATCGAGTTGAAATTAACTGTAAAATAAAGATCCAAAGTATGCTGAAACTTCGTAATTGTTTCTTTAAGTTTTTACAAAATCATTTTTAAAATCCGTTTTTTTCACATGTGATTTTAACTTCTAAAAATTAATTTTTCCCTATCCATTGCATGCTCTGATATGTTAAGGCTAAGAGCACAAAATACACACAATCATTGGAAACAAATTAGTTTTAGAATGTTGAGAGCTTAAACAATAGAGGCATGTTCAATCCCGAACTATATTTCAATCCATATAATCCACCATCTTGAATTGAAATTCAGACTGTGACACTGTGAGGTAGAACCCTCTTGAGTTCAATAGCAGGTGGGTCCCGCTTCGAAAAATCAAAAACAAGTACATTTACGAAGTTGGCTATCATCAAAGATTTTTTTTACGTACAAACAAACTTATGGAAAAATCCTTAAAATAAGTGAAATCCAGTGGAATCCAACCTTCTTGAGAATTTCTTAAGGCAATGCAATGTGGGCGTTACAAACCAATCGGAGTGAAATAATAAATATACAGAGCCCAGAGCATATGCACTTCGAGGTAATTTAGTAATCGACCAAACACACCATGATGTGCGTGTTGTCGGCGTGCTTGATGGTTGATGTCACGTTATATGGTATTGTCATATTAAACTAAAATAACCGAGCAGTTTCGACTTTCTAATAGGTCACTAAAATCATTTAATATATAACACTATCTTGAATATATAAGAGTGTTATATATTCAATGCTAAAAGGTAGGTAGATGTTCTTTCTAGCGCCTTTTTTATAATTTCCATTTTCCGTAAAATATAATTATATAAAACCCGTTAAGCAGCAGGGGCATTAGTAGTTTCATTATAAGCCACAAAAATGGCTAAAAATTATCCACTGAACATGACAGACGTAGATCAGAAATGGTGGATCCAAGCTGAAAAATAGATTTGCAATGCACTAGTGGGAAAGTTTTCACTTTCCACGCCCTTTAGTCAAAGGTTAGTAAAAGGTAAGATATAAGTTACTGTAGTTAATCCTAAAAGTGCCCAAAATAAATTAAATTAGGCCTTCAAGTTTTTCACAGGCTTGTTCAGGGAACACCTATTTTTTACATTACTAGCGTTTCCTATTCAGATCAAGTAAGTGGTGACTAAAATCAAAAGTAAACGTAAGTACTTTCTGTCTGCTTTACCGGTGGTTGAACTTCGGTTGAACCAACTCCAATCTCTTTACAATGGTCCATCTACCTACACGGGTCAACGACGACGACGTAGAAACTCATCGACGATTGTCCAACAGAGGTGAATAAACAGGCGGATATATGAGGACAGTCGGGGTGGAGAGAGATCAAAGACTTATAAATGGTTTGAGCTGAGTGGAAATCACAAATCTAGAACTAGAACAGAGATCACATTCCGACGCCCGCGTTCCTCCACGCAATATTTTGACCTACTTTATCGTTCCTAAATGAGTCAACGTTTCGATCTAAATTGATTTAATACACAGAGGGTAAGGCTGGGATGATAATAATTACCATAGATGAAATAAAAACATAGTCCCTCAGTAGATTCATAGACTAACCAACACAAAGTCAGGGGTCTAGTTCATGTCCGGTGACACTGAGGGCTTGTGTCGAAAAAATTTTGTTTTTGTTATTTTAGGGTTGGTTTCATGTTTGTGCTTTACTGTTTGGTTATATAATTAGAGGAAGAGTTATTGTTGATGATTAGATCGTTCTATTTGTTTAAACGAGGTTTTAATTGACTGAAATAACAAGAGACCTTGCTAATCCTAATCGTGACCTTGCTTTTGCTGATCGATTGCTCAACTGTATTGCCAGTCCAAATTCGTACCTTTGTTATTGCTTTTTCACAATTATTTTGTACTTCATTGTTAATTATTGTTTTCCTAGTCATGATTATATTTCCTGTTACCAATGTTGCTCTGATCACGCAGATAAGACTTGATCCCCTTTAATGAAGAAAATTACCTTTCTGCAGAACAGTTGCTAACTGCAGTAGACAAATACATCCTAAGAGCTATATCCACATTAGGAAATGTATCCTCCAATTTGTCTTCACTGAGGAACTTGCTCATTGAGAGAGGTGTGCATGTGACGTTATTGCACTTTATCAATTTAGACAAATGCACACATTCACTCCCAAATGATGACTCTAGGTCGGTATCGTAAATGTTTTGGAGTTTTGTTGCTTTTTCTAAAATTACTGATGGTTGTGTATCTGAAAGTGATGTGAGTCATCTTCACCGATCGATAATCACCTGGCGCCCGCCGCCACGCACGCCGCCCGTAGTCGCGCCGCCCGTCACGTTACCCGCTGCCTGCCGCGGCCAGGCGCCCTGGCGGGCGCCCCTCAACGGCTGGCGCCCCTAGGCACGTGCCTAGTGTGCCTTATGGTAAATCCGCCACTGGATCCTGCCATAGATTTAAGTTAGTTGTTAAGTTTTCTGTTAAAATGCATGTTGTTACCACATAGGCTTCGTATCCACATTGTAAATTGGTGATATATTTCCGATGGAATAAATAAAATAAGAGACAAATTGTAAACAAAACACGACCTCTACCTACAGTGAACCGGACAGAACTAACAAAAATTGGCTTCAGCCATTGACAACAAGAATTCTTTTTGTCTATGCATAAGCTGCTTCATAAAGGATGAGAAATCTACTAAGGTATACTAACCAACACGTATGTTTTATCTATGATATCATCCTTGAAAAAACTGAAGCCAATTTTATAATGTTAGTTATGTCCGGTGCACTGTAGATGTCGTGTTTTGTTTACAATATTTGTTTCTGTTTCAGTAATTTAAAACCTCGTTTAACGTTTAACCAAATAAAACGATCTAATCATAAACAATCACTCGTCCCTTAGTAATCAAAATAATTAAATTAACTCTAAAATAACATAAACAAAATTTCATTGACACTAGCGATCAGTGTCACCGGGCATGAAATATACACGAAAACCGATCTTCAAAGTTTGCAATAGGATGAGAAGTCTACTTGTGTTGGTTAGTCGTTATTAGTCCATGTCATTATTGAGACTGGGTCATACCGTACTACTTATTTTAACCTAAAGATGAGTGATAGAAATAGAGTGAGTACCCACCTACTAAAGCAAGTTAGTTCTCCAGCCAAGGCTGTTTCTTTTGTCAGGATATTTTATTGGAAGCCCAAAGAATGATCAAGACCGGCTGAATCAATTTTAGAGAAATAAGAGTATTTCATATAAAGTTAATAGTGTCAATTAATTTTACTAGCAACCATAATAATATGTGCGTTGAAAGGAAGCCTATACAGGATGTATAAAAAACTCTTATGGAAATATTTTGTGTATTTTTGTTCCTTTAGGCTAAAACTATTGGTTTAACTATTGGTTTAACTATTGGTAAAACTCTTCAGGGGGACGGCCCACAAGGAGTCGGAAGAAAATCTTAAATGGAAGCATAGGTCAATATGCACATCAAATTAAAGGTCTTTTTCAAAAGGTTGATCCTGCGCAAAATGGCAGTTGTTTAAAGATTCATTTAATTTACATTGCTATTATACGCTTAGGCCTACTCCTCAGGGGGCACAGCCCTAGGAATCGGAAGAAAATCGTTCACGTTAGAATAGGTCGACATGCACATCAAATTAAAGGTCTTCACTAGTAGATTACGATACCGTAAATTCAAGCTCAAAAGAATGTATGGGTAAAAAATGGCAGTCGTTCAAAGATTCAAAATGGCGGATTCAAGAAATATTTGAACATCTGCCATTTTGTGCAGAATCAACCTTTTGAATTTCGGTTTGTGGCATTGTATTCTACTAAAAAAGACCTCTAATTTGATGTGCATATTGACCTATGCTTCCATTTAAGATTTTCTTCCGACTCCTTGTGGGCCGTCCCCCTGAAGAGTTATTGGATCACTGAATATGTGTTAAAATAGAGTTTTATGCCCTGTAACTTTGTACCAAGTATTGTAGCTCTATCTACATTATGCTTAAAAATATTTAACTGTCCTGGGACTTTTTTACCACCCTGTATATATATTTTATTATGCTACTATTATGCATCACAAACTGTTGTACATCTTAAGTTATTTATTGAATTCAAACTAAGTACATATAGGTGGTGTCTGAGTCTGATAACCAAATATACTGATCGTTCAACCTGCCTAGAACAATTAATTGCACTATCTGGCTTACACTAAATAAGTTGGGAGAATGTAATTAATTAGGACTAATCCATCGATACTTAGGTTGTGGAACAGGGTGTAAGATTAAAATAAAACTACATTTAAGTGAAATAAAATCCGGCCGACTACATGGTTACGGTTTGCTGGAATCTTGAGGACTGGAGAGCGAGGGAATTTTTGGATCGGCGGTTGATGCATGGAGGGAATAGTATAGTGGCGTGATGGGTTATGTTGCCATTCCAAGAGCTTTATTGAAATCATGGCTCAGTCACCTGATCGCAGTCAGGCCACAAATGCAATACATATTGACAACACTTTTATAACACAAGCATAATAGTAAAAATTACAACTTTATGGTATTTTATTGTACACACTACAAGGTTGAAAACCTCCGGTTCATAAACAATTGAGATGGATTAATT